GAAAATGATTACAGGGAATTCCCTGGTGGTCCAGTGGTTAGGACTCTGTGCTTTCACTGCCAAGGGCTGGGGTTCAATCCCTGGTGGGGGCACTAAGATCCCACAAGCTGCGCTGTGCAGCAAAAGAAAAAAGAAAAAGATTATAATTATAATATGGAATATTATATACCTTATAAAAATGATGTCTATGAAAGGATTTGCCAGGACAAGGAAGAATATTATTGCTAAGTTATTCTGAGACTTGAGTTGGAAATAAATTCTTAAATTATATAGAAATCTTATTTTCTAAAATAAACATTTTTTTTTTTTTTTGTGGTACGCGGGCCTCTCACTGCTGTGGCCTCTCCCATTGTGGAGCACAGGCTCCGGACGCGCAGGCTCAGCGGCCATGGCTTACGGGCCCAGCTGCTCCGCGGCATGTGGGATCTTCCCGGACCAGGGCACGAACTCGCGTCCCCTGCATCGGCAGGCAGACTCCCAACCACTGCGCCACCAGGGAAGCCCTAAGATAAACATTTTAAAAGATATTTGGAATGGGCCCATCAGTTTTGTTTTTTTCTCTTTTTTCTCCCTCCCTTCCTCCTCCCATCCTCTCTTTCTTCCCTCCCTTCCTTCCTTCCTTTTTCTTATTTTCAATTCTTTAAAGGGAAGAGGGGAGGAAGGAATTTGCAACTTATTTGAGAATTTGCATATGTTATGTGCTTGCACACAGTATTTCATTTAATCAGAGAACTCCACTTACCTGGCTTTTGTTCATTCTTGTAACTGTTCACAAGAAGCTATGACAGAGTAATAGGAATGTTTAGAAACTATTTAGGTGCTCTGCATTTATCACACTCTCTTCCTTTCTGTTACTTAGACATATTGCAAGCTTCCAGCTTCAACATATTTCTGTTTTGGCCACTTTATGTAATACTTTTCTTCTCTCATTACTTCTAAAAAATATTTCTTTATTTACCATTAACCGTGGGTTGTCATTTCAGAGTTTGGTGTCATTCAAGGATGTGGCCATAGACTTCTCACAGGAAGAGTGGGAGTGCCTGGACTTGCAACAGAAGGATTTGTACAGAGACGTGATGTTGGAGAACTACAGCAACCTGGTCTCACTGGGTAATTTTGTCTGTTCCTAATAATTCAGCTTCAGTCTTTGTGAAATTTAGAAAAGTTTCCAAGTGCCTAGCTGAATTTCAGACCCCTAGTCCCAAATAAATTTTTTGTGCTTTATAAACTTTGAAATGGACAGCTCCATTGGGCACTTTTATCTACTCCCTTCTTCAGATATCCTTTCTCTGAATCTTTCTGTAATTGACCTTCTTACTTGATGAACAGTGGACTCAATTTTAATTCTGGACAAACAGAGTGTAACCGTATCTATTTCCATTCTTATAAGCAGGATTTTCCATTTCTAAGCCAGATGTGCTCTCCTTATTGGAGCAAGGGAAGGGCCCTTGGAAGGTTGTACGGGATGTGACAAGAGGTCTGAGCCCAGGTGAGTAAGAGATGATCAGGCAAAGGGAGGCTGTTGTTAAATTCCTTCATAAGTTGGCCACACCTTTGAGTTATTAGCTCCAAAGTTCTCCTCACAGACCCAACCAAGGTCTTTTACTCCTAGGCCTGTAGAGTAAAATCCTGAGCCCTGGAGGACAAAATTGTTTTAGCATCAGTTACCTAAGGAATCCCCTTCTTTGCTCCATTTACCACTTCCCTTGTTTTCTTTCATGTTCCCCTGTATTTTCAAACAGGGAATAGCCCTCCTTTTTCGGTGATAACCATTTTAACATTTTATATTTTTGACCCAGTGAAACCTGTATGAGTCTTTATCCAACAAATATTTTTAAATACCCTCTATATTATAAGTATTGAGAATATAACAGTAAACAAGAAAAATTCCGTATCCCCATTGATCTTTCCTAGCAGAAGAAATAGTAACAAATAGAAATATACAAAGAGTGATGAGTGTTATGAAGCAAAACAAAAAGCATAGAGAATCACAAAGTAATGGGGGGAGGTGTTCTTATAGAAAGAGTGGTTAAGGATGGCTCTCTGAGGTGCTCGCATTTGAGGGGAGACATGAATAGAGTAAGCCATGCAAATTCTGGGAGAAGAGCAGGTTTTTGTTTTTTAGGGTTTTTTGTTTGTTTTTTGGCCACCCTGCATGGCTTGTGGGATCTTAGTTCCCCAACCAGAGATCAAACCCAGGCCCTCGGTAGTGAAAGCTCAGAGTCCTAACCACTGGACTGCCAGGGAATTCCCAAGAAGAGCAGTTAAGGCGGAGGGACTAGCAGTTGCAGAGGAACTGAGGTAGCAGTGAGTTTGATCCTTTTGAGGATCAACAGATAAGTGTGGCTAGGGTGAATCAGGGAGAACAGAAATAGAAGAAAATAATGTATCAATATAGACTCATCAGTTTTAACAAATGTACTGCACCAATGCAAGATATTAAGTTATTACTGATCAGGGAACCTGGAGGGGAAGGAAAAGGGAGCATGTGGGAACTCTCTGGACTTAATTCAGTTTTTCTGTAAACCTAAAACTACTCTTAAGAAATAAAGTCTTAATTAAAAAACATAAGATAAACTATAGCATGGGTTCATAGCAATTCAATTCAGATTCTGAATTATAGGCTTTTTATTTAACCCTTTTTAAGATCTTACAGCTGCATCTATTTTCTCCCATGCCAGGAGTCCCAGTTATCAAGGACACTAAGAATGATGCAATTAGAATATCATATAATTACATATTTTATCCCACATTATACAAGAAGCCTCTAAAATAAGAAGATCAACACTACAACTAACAATATGATTACTCAAAACAGTTTGAGATAATTGTTTTCGCAGTTTTTTGTTCCCTTCATAGGGTATATCACAGTCAAATTACTATGTTTGAAAGTTACTTGAAGTAGTTTCCTTGTATGGTTATGCCACCAATTGTAAATATTGGTTCTTTTTTTTTTCTTTCAATTTTTAAGCTGTGCTTTCTTGTAATTTAATTTTGTTTTATAATTATTTAATATATTTATATACCACCAAAGTCAAATGTACAAAACAAGTTATATTCAAAGAAATCTGACCTCTATTCCTGGCTCCTCCACCTGTTCCTTCCCTACCCTGTAACTATGGGGTTTATTCCTCTCCCTTTTTAAAATAAAAGCAAATGTGTATTATACATTTATACTTCCTCTACCTCCTCTCCTTCCTAAGATAAAAAAGAGCATAACTATACATACTTTTGTTGACATTTCTTTTTTTTTTTCTTAATTAATTAATTTATTTTTGGCTGCATTGGGTCTTCGCTGCTGTGTGTGGGCTTTCTCTAGTTGCGGTGAGTGGGGGCTACTCTTCATTGCGGTGTGCGGGCCTCTTATTGCGGTGGCCTCTCTTACTGCTGAGCATGGGCTCTAGGCACACGGGCTTAGTTGCTCCATGGCATGTGGGATCCTCCTGGACCAGGGCTTGAACCCCTGTCCCCTGCATTGGCAGGTGGATTCTTAACCACTGCGCCCCCAGGGAAGCTCAACATTTCTTTTACAATTAATAGTGTATTTCAATCAGCACTTCATATTAATATAAAGAGATATCCCTTTTTAACTGCTTCATAGTACTCCATGATGTGGATATACCATGATTATTTCAACCAGCCACCTACTGATGGACAATTAGGTTATTAATCTTTTTCTGTAACAAATTATGCTTCAGTGAAAACTTTCTGCATCAAAAATTTTGAAATTTGCTGGTACAATTAAAAAATTTTTTTTTATTGCTTTATTTTTTTGTTTGTTTTTTGGCCATGCCACACAGCATGTGGGATCTTGGTTCCCTGACCAGGGATCGAACCTGTGCCCCCTGCAGTGGAAGCGCAGAGTCTTAACCACTGGACCACCAGGGAAGTCCCGCTAGTGCAATTTTGAGATAGAGTTCACATAAGTATAGATATTTATACATATCTATTTTTTCCCAGCTTGTCCTTTTACTTTCCTTAATGTGTTTTTGACATGCTAACCTTTTCTTTTGTTTTTTACTATAACATGGTCATTTTTTAAAATTTTACTTCTTCTACATAGATAATTAATCCAACATCATTTTTTTTTTGGCCCCACCACACGGCATGTGGGATCTTAGTTCCCCGACCAGGGATTGAACCCTGCAGTGGAAGCATGGAGTCTTAACTACTGGATGTGGGAAGTCCCAATGTGGTCATTTTTATCAAGTTGTGATTTGGAAAAATCTCCCCATTCCTAAGTTACACAAGAAGTCACCCAAGTTTTATTCTAGTTATTTCTGTGTTTTCATTTCTCTGAGTAAGGGTATCTGATCCATTTGGAATTTATCCTACTGTAAGCTCTAAGGTACTAATGCAATTTCATCTTTTTTTCTCTATGTTTATCCTTATGTCGTGTTTTTTTTTTGTTTTTGTTTTTTTAAGGGAGAAGGAAGGTTTCATTATTTGCAGCAAGTAAGGAGAGCACTGGGGATCTTTCCCAAAGCAGTGTCTCCTATGTTTATCCTTATGTTTATCACTTTCATTTATTAAAAAAGAGTCCATCTTTTTCCTACTTGTTTTAGCTGCTACTGTTACTGTATGCTAAATTTGCACTTATAATTGTGTCTATTTATGGATTTTTCTTTTCTGTTCCATTGGTTGCACTGACATCTTATGAGTATGATATTCAGTTTGAGTCCACCATTTCTATCTTAGAAGTTTCATTTTTCCAGGAATATGAAAATAGCATTTGTTTACTTGTTATCTTACAGACTGGGAATCCAGGTGTGAAACCAAGAAGCTATCATCAAAAAGAGAAATTTATGAACTAGAATCATCTCAATGGGAGATAGTAGAACAACTTACAAGCCGTAAGTGTGAGTGCAAAAGTTTTCAAGATGATAAGGAATGCAGAGACCAGTTTGAAAGCCATTTAGGAAATAAAGAGGGACTTTTTAGGCAACTAGTAGTCTATGAAGAAATGCCTAATTTTAGTCAAACCACATCCCTTACCTTACAACAGAGAATTCATTCTACTGAGAAATTCTATGAATGTAAAGCGTGCAGAAAATATTTTATCCCTGGCTTTCAACAGACTGAACATCAGAAAAATCATTCTGATGAAAAATTCTATGAATGTAAAGAATGTGGAAAGGCCTTTATTTGGGACTCACAACTTACTTACCATCAGAGAGTTCATGTTGCTAAGAAACCCTATGAATGTAAGGAATGTAGAAAAGCTTTTATCTGTGCCTCGCAACTTATTTGTCATCAAAGAATTCATACTGGAGAGAAACCTTATGAATGTAAAGAGTGTGGGAAGGCCTTTATTCGTAGCTCTCATCTTACTCAACATCAAATAATTCATACTGGTGAAAGACCCTATGAATGTAATGCATGTGGGAAGGCCTTTTTTCGTGGCTCACAACTTACTTACCATCAGAGAGTTCATACTGCAGAGAAACCCTATCAATGTAAGGAATGTGGAAAGGCCTTTATTCGTGGCTCTCAACTTACTGAACATCAGAGAATTCATACTGGTGAGAAACCCTATGAATGTAAGAAATGTGGGAAAGCCTTTAGTTATGGTTCACAGCTTACTCTACATTATAGACTCCATACTGGTGAAAAGCCTTATAAATGTAAAGATTGTGAGATGTCCTTTATTCGTGGCTCACAACTTACTGAACATCAGAGGATCCATACAGGTAAGAAACCACACGAATGTAAACAGTGTGGAAAGGCCTTTAACTATGGCTCACAGCTTATTCGACATCAGAGGATTCATACTGGCGAGAAACCATATGAATGTCAAGAATGTGGGAAATCATTTATTCGTGGCTCACAACTTACTGAACATCAAAAAATTCACACTGGTGAAAAACCCTTTGAATGTAAGGAATGTAGGAAAGCCTTTATTCGTGGCTCACATCTTACTCAGCATCAGAGAATTCATACTGGTGAAAAGCCCTATGAATGTAAAGAATGTGGAAAGGCCTTTATTTATGGCTCACAACTGTCTCAACATCAGAAAATTCATACAGGTGAGAATCCCTATGAATGTAAGCAGTGTGGGAAGATCTTCATTTGTGCCTCACAACTTAATCTACATCAGATTTTTCATACTGGTAGGAAACCATATGAATGTAAGGAATGTGGTAAGACTTTTATTCGTAGCTCACAGCTAACTTACCATCAGAGAGTTCATACTGGTGAGAAGCCCTATGAATGTAATGAATGTGGGAAGGCCTTTATTCGCGGTTCACATCTGACTCAGCATCAGAGAATTCATACTGGTGAGAAACCATACAAATGTAACGAATGTGGAAAGGCCTTTAATCGTGGATCACAACTTACTCAACATCAGAGAATTCATTCTGGCGAGAAGCCTTATAAATGTAATGCATGTGGTAAGGACTTTAGACGTCATTCACACCTTACTCAACATCAGAAACTTCATAATGGAGAAAAACTGTATGAAAAAATTAATTTAGTAAATCCTTTACCTGTTTGTCCATGACATTCACCTTTGGGATATCAGAAAATTCAGATTATGAATGTGAGAATCCTTTTTTACTTAAACTCATAAGTAACTCACCTTCAGAGAATTCACATTTAAGAAAGGCTAGATTAATATAAGTGCAGAATTACTTTCCATCATATTTCAATCCTAGTTAGACATTAGTGAATTCATATGAGAGCTCAACCCTAAAATGTAGGGTTCTCTTGTACAGTATCACCTGAGCTCCACCATTTAGTATGTGGGTGTTCCTTTGCAAAAGTTACTTAACCCCTGTTTGTTTTAGTTTCCATTAATATCACATATTTCATCATAGTGTTCTGCAATTTAAAGAAGTAAATACATATACCGTAAAGCCTTAAAGCAATGTGTGCTACATAGTTAATGCTTAATAAATGTTAACTATTATTGTAAATGTTACTTTTATTTAGTGTTTTAATCATTACTTTTAATCTTACTTTACAGAATTCAAATGAGAAGGAAACTTTACAAATACAGTACATATGGTAAATCTTTCATCACTCTTACTAAGCCTCAGGTAAATCATTTTGGAACAAAACATTCTAATATTATTAATGTGAGGTTATACCTGATTCTGAATCAAAATTCTTACTAAAAGGAAACCCTAAGGGGAAAAAAGTGTTTTGCCCTTACAAATAAAGCTGCTTGTGAACATGTTTGTATAAATTTGTGCGTGAACATAAACTTCCATTTCTCTGGTCTAAAGTTTAAGAGAGTAGTTTCTGGGTTAAATAGTAAATGAACGTTTCTCTTATAAGAAATGGACAAATCATTTTCCAAAGTGGCTTTTCCATTTTATATTCACACCAGGAACATGAGTGACAGTTTCTCTGTATCTCTACCAGCATTTGGTTTTTTCACCATTTTTTAATCTTAGCCATTCTGATAGGTGTGTAATGATATCTCTTTGTGGTTATAATTTCCATTTCCCTAGGGGCTAATGATGGTGTGCTTATTTGCCATCCCTGTATCCATTGTGGTGAAATGACTGCTTCATTTTTGAATTGTATCTTTTTTTTTAACTGTTGGATTGTGAGAGAGTGCTTTCTTTATTCTAGACAATACTAGTCCTTTGTTTGATATGTAGTTTGCAAAAATTTTCCCCAGTGCGTAGCTTTTCATCCTTTTAGCAGTGTTTTTTGAAAAGCAAAACTTTTTAATTTTGATAAGGTCTAGCTTATTACTTTTTCCTTTTACGGATTTAGCTTTTGGTGTTAAGTCTAAGGACTTGGGCTTCCCTGGTGGCGCAGTGGTTGGGAGTCCGCCTGCTGATGCAGGCAACATGGGTTCGTGCCCTGGTCCGGGAAGATCCCACATGCCGCGGAGTGGCTGGGCCCGTGAGCCATGGCGGCTGAGCCTGCACGTCCGGAGCCTGTGCTCCACAGTGGGAGAGGCCACAACAGTGAGAGGCCCGCGTACGGTAAAAAACAGAAAACAAAAAAAACATATATATATATATATATATATATATATATATATATATATATGGACTCCTTTTCTAGCTCCAGATCCCAAAGATATTCTCCTACATTTTTGCCTGAAGTTTTCATGGTTTTATGTTTTGCATTTAAGTCTGTGATCCATTTTGAGTTAATATTTGCATACATTATAAACTTTAGCTTCATGTTATTTCTTTGTTTTTATTGCCTTATGGGTGTCCAGTTGTTCTAGTACCATTTGTTGAAAAGACTACCTTCAATAAATTGATTTTGTGCCTTTATATTTGTGTATGTCTATTTCTGTATTTTCTCTGCACACGTCTGAGTGTGCCTATCCCTCTGCCAGTACCACCCTGTCTTGGTTACTGTCACTCTATAGGATTTCTTAATATTGGGTAGAGTGATTCCTCCCACTTTACCTTTTTAAAATTGACTTAACTATTCTAGATCTTTTGCCATTTCATATAAATTCTAGAATAAAGTAACCTATATCTACAAAAAAAAGAGTTTGCTGAGTTGTAATAGAATTTCAATTTGGGGATAATTGACATCTTTACGCTCTGAGTCTTCCAATCCATGAACATGATATGTATCTTCATTTTTAGGTCTTTATTATGGGTTTAATTGTGTTCCCCAAAATATTCAAGTCCTAACTCTCAGTACCTGTGAATGTGACCTTATTTGGAAATACAGACTTTGCAGATGTAATCAAATTAAGGTGAGGTCATATTGGATTAGAGTAAGCACTACTCTAATGACTAGTATCCTTAAAAGAAGAGGGAAATATGGACACAGACACATAAGGAAAGCCATGTGAAATCAGAGGCAAGGTTGGAATGATGCATCTACAAGCCAAGGAACACTAAGGCTTATTAATAACTACCAGAAACCGGAAAGGGCAAGAAAGAATCATCCCCTAGCACCTTTAGAGAAAGCATGGCCCTGCCAGTACCTTGATTTTGGACTTCTAGCCCCCAGAACTGTAAGAAAATTAAGTTGTTGTTTTAAACTAAGTTTGTGGTAATTTGTTATGGCAGCCCTAGAAAACTAATATAGTCTTTGATTTCTCTTATTAGGATTTGTAATTTTTGGCATACAGATCACATACATGATTTATAAGTGTATATCTAAGTGTTTCATTTTCTTTGGAAAAGTTGTAAATGGTGTGTTTTTCCTTTTAGCTATTAATCACTAGTATACACAAATTATGTACATATACATATATACAAATCAATATACAAATTATATAATTGGTGAGTTCTACAGCAAAGCCATAGACTAATATCAATATAATTTGTATATGGGTTACAAATAACTTGTATATTGATCTTGTAATCTATTATCTTGCTGCAGAACTCACTAATTAGTTCTGGAAGTTTTTGTTTTGTACATTCCTTGGGATTTTCTACATAGATAATCATGTCAGCTATAAACAGGGACAGTTTTTTTTCTTCTAGTCTGTCTTTTGTTTTTCTTCCCTTATGGTGACTATTACTTCCAGTGTTATGTTGAGTAAGAGTGGTACAAGCATATATCCTTGCCTTGTTTCTGATCTTAGGGGGAAACTCTCAGTCTTTCACTATTAAGTATTATGTTAGCTATAGGTTTTGTGTAGGTGCTCTTTTTTATTTTTTTTATCTTTTTTATTTAACATCTTTATTGGAGTGTAATTGCTTTACAATGTTGTGTTAGTTTCTGCTGTGTAACATAGTGAATCAGCTATATGCATATGTATATCCCCACATCCCCTCCCACTTGCGTCTCCCTCCCACCCTCCTTATCCCACCCCTCTAGGTGGTCACAAAGCACCGAGCAGATTTCCCTGTGCCATGCAGCTACTTCCCACTACCTATTTTATGTTTGGTAGTGTATATATGTCAATGCTATTCTCTCACCTCGTCCCAGCTTACCCTTCCCCCTCCCTGTGTCCTCAAGTCCATTATCTACATCTGTGCCTTTATTCCTGTCCTGCCCCTAGGTTCATGAGAACCTTTTTTCCTTGTTTTTAGATTCCATATATATGTGTCAGCATACAGTATTTTTTTTTCTCTTTCTGACTTACTTCACTCTGTATGACAGTCTCTAGGTCCATCCACCTCACTACAAATAACTCAATTTCGTTTCTTTTTATGGATGACTAATATTCCATTGTATGTATGTGCCACATCTTCTTTATCCATTCATCTGTCGATGGACGCTTAGGTTTCTTCCATGTCCTGGCTATTGTAAATAGTGCTGCAATGAACATTGTGGTACATTGTCTCTTTTTGAATTATGGTTTTCTCAGGGTATATGCCCAGTAGTGGGATTGCTGTGTCATATGGTCATTCTATTTTTAGTTTTTTAAGGAACCTCCATACTGTTCTCCATAGTGGCTGTATCAATTTACATTCCCACCAACAGTGCAAGAGGGTTCCTTTTCTCCACACTCTCTCCAGCATTTATTATTTGTAGATTTTGTGATGATGGCCATTCTGACCAGTGTGAGGTGACATCTCATGGCAGTTTTGACTTGCTCTTCTCTAATAATGACGTGCATTTTTTCATGTGTTTGTCAGCAATCTATATCTTCTTTGGAGAAATGTCTATTTAGGTCTTCTGCCCATTTTTGGACTGCATTGTTTGTTTTTTTCATACTGAGCTGCATAACCTGCTTCTATATTTTGGAGGTTAATCCTTTGACAGTTGCTTCATTTGCAAATAGTTTTTCCCATTCTGAGGGTTGTCTTTTCATCTTGTTTATGGTTTCCTTTGCTGTGCAAAATCTTTTGAATTTAATTAGGTCACATTTGTTTATTTTTTGTTTTTATTTTCATTACTCTAGGAGGTGGGTCAAAAAAGATCTTGCTGCAATTTATGTCATAGAGTGTTCTGCCTATATTTTCCTCTAAGAGTTTAATAGTGTCTGGCCTTACATTTAGACCTTTAATCCATTTTGAGTTTATTTTTGTTTATGGTGTTAGAGAGTGTTCTAATTTCATTCTTTTACATGTAGCTGTCCAGTTTTACCAGCACCACTTATTGAAGAGTATGTCTTTGCTCCATTGTATATTCTGGCCTCCTTTGTCATAGATTAGGTGACCGTAGATGCATGGGTTTATCTCTGGGCTTTCTATCCTGTTCCATTGATCTATATTTCTGTTTTTGTGCCAGTAACATACTGACTTGACTACTGTAGCTATGTAGTATAGTCTGAAGTCTGGGAGCCTGATTCCTCCAGCTCCATTATTTTTCTCAAGATTGTTCTGGCTATTCGGAGTCTCTTGTGTTTTCATACAAATTGAGCAATTTTTTGTTCTAGTTCTTTGAAAAATGCCATTAGTAGTTTGAAAGGGATTACATTGAATCTGTAGATTGCTTTGCGTAGTATAGTCACTTTCACACTGTTGATTCTTCTAATCCAAGAACATAGTATATCTCTCCATATGTTTGTATCATCTTTAATTTCTTTCATCAGTGTCTTATAGTTTTCTGCATATAGGTCTTTTGTCTCCTTAGGTAGGTTTATTCCTAGGTATTTTATTCTTTTTGTTGCAATGGTAAGTGGGACTGTTTCCTTAATTTCTCTTTCAGATATTTCATCATTAGTGTATAGGAATGCAAGACATTTCTGTGCATTAGTTTTTTATCCTGCTACTCTACCAAATTCATTGATTAGCTCTAGTAGTTTTCTAATAGCATCTTTAGGATTCTCTATGTATAGTATCATGTCATCTGCAAACAGTGACAGTTTTACTTCCTTTCCGATTTGCATTCCTTTTATTTCTTTTTCTTCTCTGATTGCTGTGGCTAAAACTTCCAGAGCTATGTTGAATGATAGTGGTGAGAGTGGGCAACCTTGTCTTGTTTCTGATCTTAAAGGAAATGGTTTCAGTTTTTCACCATTGAGAATGATGTTGGCTGTGGGTTTGTCATCTATGGCCTTTATTATGTTGAGGTAGATTCCCTCTATGCCTACTTTCTGGAGAGTTTTTATCATAAATGGGTGTTGAATTTTGTCGAAAGCTTTTTCTGCATCTATTGAGATGATCATATGGGTTTTCTCCTTCAATTTGTTAATATGTTTTATCACATTGATTGATTTGTGTATATTGAAGAATCCGTGCATTCCTGGAATAAACCCCACTTGATCATGGTGTATGATCCTTTTAATGTCCTGTTGGATTCTGTTTGCTAGTATTTTTTTTTTTTTTTTTTTTTGTTTGCTAGTATTTTGTCAAGGATATTTGCATCTATGTTCATCAGAGATATTGGCCTGTAGTTTTCTTTTTTTGTGACATCTTTGTCTGGTTTTGGTATCAGAGTGATGGTGGCCTCGTAGAAGGAGTTTGAATGTGTTCCTCTCTCTGCTATATTTTGGAAGAGTTTGAGAAGGGGAGGTGTTAGCTCTTCTCTAAATGTTTGATAGAATTCGCCTGTGAAGCCATCTGGTCCTGGGCTTTTGTTTGTTGGAAGATTTTTAATCACATTTTCAGTTTCAGTGCTTGTGATTGGTCTGTTTATATTTTCTCTTCCTGGTTCAGTCTCAGAAGGTTGTGCTCTTCTAAGAT